CTCCTCCTCCTTCTGCTCCTCCTCCTCCTCCTCCTCCTCCGTCTCCTCCTCGTCGCAGCGTCAGCGCTGGGTCGTGGCAGCCCGGTCGTCGGCGGGCCTTTGCGAGAGTGAGGGTGCAGTCGCTGTCCGCGGCCGGTGGGCATGCCGACCCTGCAGCATGCTGCCCCGGGTGTGCTGTCTCATCCTTCGTTCGCGCAAGTGTGCCGCTTCGCTTCGAGCCGCGGCCCCCTCCTCAGGGGCGTCTCCGGCTTCAGCTTCTACGACATCTCCAGCGACGCGGAGTGGTTCTATTGGGTGCAGAATCAGCTCGTGCCCACGATAATGAGCACGACGTTCTCGAACGGCGAGCGGCCCGGCCTCGCTCGGCATGCTGTCTCCATCGGCAGTTCGCCTTGCTGTCTCTGCGGCATGCTGTCCACCCCTACAGCACTGGGGCATATTCCCTCTCCTCCTCTTCATCCTGATGGTTCCCCTCTGGATTCCCTCACATGGCCCCATGCCTTACATCTACCCCTGTTCCCTGCCCCCGAAGCCAACTCTACGAAGCGAATAGAGAAGTGCGCTAGGAATGACCACCACTAGGATTCGCGTGGGGCTGCATGTGCAGAATTGGCGTTGAGCGTGCACGGTGCCATGCAATGCAGCGCGAAGACAAGCGCTGGTAAGGCACAGGAGAGTAACGCGAGCAGGATGCAGGAGAGTTGTAAATCGCCGCGGACCCAGGAGGCTAGCCGGGTGAGCCAAGCCAGCAATTCCAAGACGGGTAGAAGCTGTACGCCGCCGGTTGAACAGCAACGGGTGAAGAGATTGAGAGTAGACATTCGTTCTCTTTCACAGACACACACACACGCTTCGTCTTTGTCTCTCTCTCTCTCGAGCGTGTTTCTTTACCACTTGGGACATTCTGGGCATTATAGCCCCCAGCGCCCCCTATAACATGTAACATGACGCCCCCCCCCCAAGTGCGCCCTTGGCACTGCCGCCGTGCGCAACGGGGTCCCCATAGGCGTCCGCATAGGAATCCGCATATGAGTCTGGTCCGCAGTCGTCGTCGTCGCCGTCGTCGTCGCGGTTGCTCGTCACTCGTCGCTTGTCGCTCGTCGCTCATCGTCGTCGTGCGCGCGGACGCGGCTGGAGCCTATTTTTAATTCCAGGCAGATGACGACCGTCATCTTGGGGGGGAAGGTACCGAAGACGTCACGTTTCGCGCCAGCGGCGTCTGGAACTGCCTAAGATGACGGAGGAAGTGTAGCAGTAGCATGTAGGTATCCGCAGTGCCTGCGTGCACGACAGCCTATGCGTACACCACACCGCCTACGCACACCACAACAGCCGCTTGCAGCACAGCGCCAGTGTGTGTGTGTGCCACAGTGCTTGCGAGCTGCTCCGCAGCGCTTGTGTACACCTCAGCGCGTGCGTACACCACACCAGCCGTGTGCAACACAGCACCAGTGTACACCAGTGCACACCAGCGCTGGGTTGCATGCGGATGCTGTGGTGCAGAGGCGCTGTGGTGTACACAGGCGCTGTGTTGCACATGGTTACTGCGGTGTACACATTCGCTGTGGTGTACACCAGCGCTGTGGTGCACGCAGGCACTGTGGTGTACACAGGCGCTGCGTTGCACGCAGCTGCCGCGGTGTACGCAGGCGCTGTGGTGTACACGCGCTCTGTGGTGCACGCGAGCATTGTGGTGTACACAGGCGCTGTGGGGCAGATCGCCACCTACATGCTGCTTCTAGGCAGTCGTTGACGCCGCAGGCGCGGAACGTGACGTCATCTGGAGGTGATGGGGCGGGGCCGATGATTGCCGCTATCGCAGAACATTTTCAAATGACTCTTCTGGTGCCGGAGCCACACGGCGGGGGGGGGCGTCACGTTATACCCCCCCGCCCCCCCCTATCATGACCATCATAGCCGAATATAGACAACCGCGCTCCTCGTTTACACCCTTTCTCGCTCCTTCCCTCCCGCACGCTCGAGTGCTCCGGCGCGCAGACGGCACAGTCTGAGGGTCACGAGCAAGTGCACACGTTGCCCGTCCGTAGCACTATGTGCGTTTCCCGCGCTCGCCACCAGCCCTCCACCCCCCTGGTCGCCCCCTCCCTCTTCTGAGGGGGCATCTAGGCGGCGAGGGGAGAGAGAAGTGGACCAGCGCACACACACACACACACTTAGTGTATTTCTCTTATGCGAATCTATATATATATATATATATATAATAACATGTATACAGTGATGGAGAGAGAGAGAGAGAGAGAGAGAGTGAGAGAGAGAGAGAGCGAATATCCCCTTCCATATTCCCCCTCCCACTCCCACTGATCCTCCTCATCCCTTTTCTCCCCTCATTTCAGGTTCCTCCTCCCTCCTACTCCCTGAGCCGCCCCCTCAACTTCCCCCTCGTTCTGCTGTTCCCCTTCCTCCCCCTTTCCTTCCCCCTCCACTCCACTCCGCAGGTGACGATCGCGCCGAGTCGTGGGGGAGCCGGTTCACAAACACGGCGCGCCCCTCCCCGCGGCCTGCCTTGTAGCGCGCAGGAGAGAGCGGGGAGGGGCGGCGCGCCTTGTGTTGTCAGGGCCCGCGCCCATCGTCCAAGCCCATGCACACCGGGCGTTCGCATCGAAGAATGACAAACGGCATAAACATAAACTTTTGTCGCTCCGCACGGATTTCTTCAATCCGCGCTGGGACACCCTGGCGGCGTCTCCGGCGCTGCCCCTGGCGCGCTCCGCACGCCAGGGGGGGGGGGGGTCCAGCGCAGATCCAAGAAATCCGCGCGGAGCGCCATTAGATTATGTTTATGCCGTTTTGTTTTTTGTCTGTACGAAACAGGGTGGTACTTAAGGGGCCTTTTCAATCGAGAACGGGGCGACAGGGCGTTTACCTCGCACCAGGGCGTGATGAATCGGGACGACAAAGAACGTCGGTACATCATCATAACTCTGGGCGAGGGGGTTACCTCGCACGTGTGCGCGGCAAATCAGTTCCTTGAGAGAACACTTGAACACGCACCCTTAGCCACTGGCCTGCTTACTAACGCCCTGTTTGCAGGGGCTTGGATCATGCCAGGGAAGGGGATGAGTGCATGGGTCGACCTGGGCCATTTTCGTTTGGAATGTTTGCAGCAAAGGCGGATTGACGACAGCACCACAAAAAACAAACAAAGACAACACGAAAACGAAACACACTGTTTAGGTCGATGCCTGGATGAGGGGGAGGGAGGTGAGGAAGGAGGGTAGCGGAGGAATGGCGAAGGAGGAGGAGGGCAGGGGGAGGGAGGTTCTAGCAGGTACCGCTTCCCCTGGGGCCCGACAACCCGCCTTCTCCCCCGCGACGCGGGCGCTTCCGGACCGTGGCATGAGGGCCATTCGGAGCTCTTTTCTCACGAGGGGAAAAAACACACAGACACAATGAATCGTCCACTCCCAGGAAAATATCGGAAAATATGGGAAGTGGGGGGGAAGACAACAGCTCAAAAGATATGGGAAACTATGGGGAACTCTCTTATTTGCGTGTACGTACTTATTCGTGTGTCCTGGGGCCCCTTCGTTTTCTTTGCGATGGCTGCAGGGGGGGTGGCGGGGCGAGAGGAGGCGGCGCGGCGAGGCGGGAGGCAGAGCGGCCTCGCCCCTTCGGGAGAGAAGGGAGGCGCGGGGGGCTCCCGTCGCCCCGCGGGCCGGGCGCGGCCCGAGAGGCTGGCCATCACGGTACCCAGGGCTGAGTTTGAGCGGGTCGCCGTGGTCGTCGTCGCCGTCGCCGTCGTCGCCGTCGTCGTCGCCGTCGTCGTCGCCGTCGACGTCGTTTCAGGAGGGAATTAAACACACAGACACAATTAATCGTCGACCCCCTGGAAAATATGGGAAAATATGGGAAGTGGGGGGGAAGACACAAATCCAGAAAATATGGGAAAATATGGGGAATCCTTTTATTTGTGTGTATTTATTTGTGTGTCCCAGGGCCCCTTCATCGTTGTCGTTGACGTGTCTGAGGATGAGGAGGCGGGGGAGGAGGAGTGGGCCCAGGCGGTCCCCTTCGGCCGCGGGCGGAGGAGAAAAGGGCAGGCTTCTCCACGGGCGTCCGCCTTCCTCCCCCTCTCTTCCTCCACCTCCATGCTCCCCTCCTTCACCTCGCCTCCTTGCTCCTCCTCTGCACTCGTCCTTGCCTCCTCCTTTTCATGACCCTCCTCCTCCTCCTCCTCCTCCTCCCGATTGGTCTGTGCCCTCCCCACTCCACGTCCTCCTGCCTTGATCGCCTCATTCTCTCTTCTACTGCTGCTGCTACTGCTGCTGTTGCTGCCGCTCCTCCCTTCTGCTACGCCTCCTCTCACACCTCGATGTGATTACGATCGTAGCAAAAACTGCAGCCAGCATTGTTTTGGCAATGGCGGCGGCAGGCGATAACAAAGGCGAGAACGCGATCGATCACATCCACACCAGTGCAGATGACAGCGATATCTTGGGTCGGTCCAACCGCCCTGCTCCCAGTCACCACCTTGGCCTCCATGATGAGGTGAAGTTGAGGCGACCCCCCACGCCTGGATGCCTACGCATCGTCGTGGTACGCCTAGCCACTGCCATGTGGACGCCTACGCATGCCAATGCTGATGCCCAGGCATCCGCATGGGTATGCATTCGCGTGCATCAAGGAATGCGCTCATGGACTTAGCTGGGCGTAGCTGGGCGTACCAGGTGCCTAGGCATCTGCCTGGTGATGCCTAGGCATCCAGCTGTCGATACCTAGGTACAACCTTCATCGTTGCGCAAGGTACAGCCGACGTCGATGGTTCGAAGTACCAGAGCCAGCGGGCCGTGCCAAGCGTTTGCTTAACAGGTATCCCCAGCACTCTGTTTCTTCGACCTTCTCCCCGTACCATCGCTACCACCTCCTTCTCCTCCTGCTCCCCCCCCTCTTCCTCCGTAGCCATGTTGGCTCAAGGTCCGTAGCCTCGGCTCAGGACCTGGCCTCACTGGCAAGGGGGAGCAACGGCCCCCACAGTGCCCCTCGTTTGCCTGGCCAGACGAGGTTCTTCATTTCGGCGTGTCGCGCGCGTGTGATGGTCCCAGACCCGCCCAAGGGGCCTTCTAGGCCGACGCGTGACCGCCCGCATTCGCAGAGTGGGTATAAGACGTGCTATGGCAAGAACTCGTGCGGCTACCAGTATAATCTGGTGGAGTGTATCCGGTGTTTTCGCTGTAAGAAGATGATCAGGTTTTTTTGCTGTAAGAAGAGGTGGTTCCATGTCCGATCACGATGCTGCGAACCTGGGCGCCAGCAGTTTCCCAAGTGGAGGCGCATCAGCCAAGCCTGGTCCAGGGTTTGGCAAAGGAGGCGCTGCTGCACGAGCCAAGGGGAAAGGAGGTGAGAACCACAGGGCTACCAAGCAGCAGTACCTGTCGGCAGCTATCGAGCAGCTCACCTTGGCAGGACTTGGGCCCGAACGCCCCCTCGTGGTGGCAGCCAAGGCCCAGATCCCAGTCGTGTCTTCCGCGCCAGACGATCACCGTGGCCAGACGCCTTGGATGCGTGTACGCTCTCATCAGGACAAGTTGGCCCACTACCAGGGCCAGCTTCCATCGGCACAAGCCACGGAGGCATCCATCCAGTAGAAGCAGGCCGAGCTCGAGCAGGACTTGGCTGAATGCTTGGAGCATCAGAAGAAATTGGCGGAGTCGGTCAAGCGTGAAGAGGAGGAGCTGCAGCGGCTACACCGTCGCGCCGTCCTTCACCCTGTGGGAGCTGATGGGAAGTCGGTCGGTCACGGGCTTGGTCGAGACCTTGTTCGGCCATCTCCCTGCGAGTTTCAAGTCGGCGAAGGCGGCCCAGTTCCAGTCGGTGGTGGACCTTCTGGGTGATCTGTCTGCGGCGGGGCTCCAATTCCAGCAGGAGGAGGAGGCGCGCCAGAGACAGGAGGCCGAGGCGGCGGCCCAGCGTGCGGCTGCTGGCGGCGGTGCTTGCGATGCTGGGACTGCTGCTACGTCGGCGATCGAATCCAGGGTTGCTGAAGATTGCAAGCAGCAGCTCCAGGACCTTATGCAGGGTGGCAAAGCTGGGCAGTATGAGGGCCTCTTCAAAACGATGCTGGAGTTCCTGGAGAATCCCACGGCCCTCACAAAGCGCCCCAGGCGCGACCCTCCAGCGCCTGCAGCAGCAGCCGCAGCAGAAGGTCATCATGTTCTTGCTGCTGGGGCTTGCCATGCTCCTGGTGCTGATGCTCCCGCTGCGGCAGGTGCTGGACCTCAGGGGGGGGGGGGGGGGGGGGGGGGGGGTTTACCGCGATCGGCAAGGTCTCCTGAGTTGGCGCTGAGTTATCCCTCGAGTTCTCCTTCGGCGTCTGCTTCCTCTTCGTGTACACCTGAGGTTTTGGCGGGCGCGAGAGTCAGGTCCGGCAGGGCCGCGACCACTTTGGAGGAGGTCGCGGGGAAGCGTGGATCCCAGATTTGTGGCGAAGCTGGGCCTTGCGAGGTGGGCTGGAGACTCGTGCCTGCCAGCCGCAGTGCCAGCCACATGTGCAGTCGCATATTCGTTCCCCATCGGCACCTCTAGCGGAGGGTTCTCCTTCTCGGCGACGCAGTCGGCCTGAGGTTTGGAGGATCTGCTCGTCTAATATTACCTCGCGGGGAGTCGAGCGCGACAAGGGCTCAAGGGTTTCGCGCAGGCCTTTCTTGGAGCTGATTGATGCCGTGGAGTCCGATTTGTTTTTGTTGTAGGCCCACGGCGGCAAGTCTGCTCGCAGACGCAGACGTTCACCGTTGTGGGCGGGCACAAATCGGCCACGGTTGCGCGTAGGTCGCGCGCGCGGCAGTGCGACGCGACCGCGGCCTCGCTGCGCAGGCGCGGGCCATCGCGCCGTCGCGCGCCAGGGTTGCGCGTCGCGGGGGGGGGGGTCGCTGCCCCGCGGCGCGTGCGCTTTCGCAGGTGATTTGCTAGCGCCGGGGTTGCGTCGCCGCGGGGGGGGTCGCTGCCCCCGCGGCGCGTGCGCTTCGCAGGCGATTTGCATTTGGAGGAGGCGCCGCGCGCGCGCCCCGCGCGCGCGCGCGGCGGGCGCCTCCCTGGCGCGCGTTCTTTCTCGCGGCGCGTGGCAGCTATGGGCCGAACAGCTACGCTCGGGGGACCCAGATTTCAAGCTGGGGAAGACGATCCTGCGGGTCGACCCGCGCGCCCTACAGCTGGCGCGGGATGCTTGCGACAAAGAAGACGGCGCCACCCACGCGACGGCGAGCGTCGCGCCGCGCGGATTCGCTTCTGCCACCTTCCTCCGCCGTTTCCGCGCGCGCAGGCACCGGCGGCCCGCGCTCCCGAGAAGGCGCGCGGGGCGGGCGGCGCCAGCCAGCCGTGGCGCGCCGCGCAGAGCTGGAGCAGCGGCTTCTGGGGCAGCGATTGGCCGAAGGGCCAGAAGCGCGAGCGCTCGTGGGGCAGCGATTGGAAGAAAAAGGACACGAGGAAGGTGCGGACGCCGCCGCGCCCGGCGCATCGCTGAGCGCCGCCCTGGCAGGGCGCGCG